GGATGGCTGCACTTGAATGTTTTTTCCCTTCGTGCTGGTTTGGAGCTGTGTTCGTTGCAGCTTTGATTTGGCTCACACCGTGCAGTAGTTTGAGAATGCCCCCTCCTCCTCCCCAGTTCCAGAGCAGGCAGGAAGGAAAAAGATGCAGACAGGCACAAAGTTGAGCGGATGATTGTATACACAGGGTTGCATGCGATTGCATACTAGTAAGAACGAGTCATGTGTTTGACCAATGTGAGACTGTGGTGGATGCTCCTACCACCATTAAGAGCCCCAATTATAATCCTTCTGGAGGTGGAAGCCATTGTTCCAAAGACTGAGTGAGGGGAAATGTTAATTCTGAAGCTAAGTTCAATTGAGCCCTAAGTTATTTTGTAATTTCAATATATTATTTGTATTAGGTTAAATGCAATTCTGTTTCTATTTTGTTAGGTTTTGTGTTTGTCGTACTTCTATTATGTTCCTCCCTCATATGGGAAGTTTAGGGCAGTCCACCCCTATTTAAGCAGCCTTGGTTTTGTGTCTGGAGGTCAGTTTGTTTTGTGTTTGCTTGCTTTTCAGACCTCCGTTGGGTTATTTAGAAACTTAGTTGTATTGTATGACATTTTTGTTATAATTTTTTGTTATTAAGTTGAAAATTTTCTCATTTTTGGAACACCTTTGTCCTTGATTCTGGTCCCTCACAGAGATGCTACTCCCGCTACTGGAGCTACTCCCACCAAACCGGATGGTTTTAGTCACTCAAACATGACTGTAATTGAAGCAGGACGTTTTATTTGTTTGACATAACCGGACCGGGTTCTCGTCCCCAACAGGTGGGCACAAAGAAGCTCAAATTAGAGCCAACAATGAACCCTGCTGGATGAATGGCGGTAACAAACTGCATCCTGTAGTGGATTTTTTATTTTTTACAAAATCAATAGCTGCAGTGCTCTTTGTTCTGCAACAGCACCAACGTTTCCATTTTTTATCCCAACACAATAGCCATGATTGGTTTGATAGGTAGCTTGTTCTTGCTTTCTTTTTACAGGTATTTTTCTCTTTAGACAGGTATTTCTGTCTAAAAGCAATTGCAACATTATAAATTTATCATCTTCCATTTTGCAACTAAAGCTGATGTCTAATCTAACCACCCTGAGTAAAATAGCTTCCACTCAAATTAATTTAAGGTCTCAATTGTGGAGATTGTTCTTGATAAGGAATGTGGTGGAAAAGGTTGTGAGCCCAAAGAAAAGAAGAGCAAGTAACGCTGCTATAATAATAATTTCCTCTTCAGCATAAATGGTTGGATAGAGTTTGTCCTTCTTTTGATGTGGACTCTGTCAGAAACCAAAATAGTGGCAGATTCTTTCACAGTTTGCATGACAGAAAAGTGGATAGGAGTGAACACCACCCTTCTCTTTTTACTGACAGGTTGCTTGTTTGGTTGATTATGAACAGGATTTTTTTTTTTATTACAATACTCATCAACTGTAACCATCTGAATAAAGATGTGCTGACACATATTCCATGACGTGGAATTTATTGCTGACCCAGATAATGAAGCCCTCAGAGATCCATCAACTGTGAGTGATTCTAAATGACTGCAAAACTGCTACAAGATGTTATTAAAACAGTACTTTCTACTGCGTTCAAAAAGGTTTGTATTAGATATGTACACTGAGTTGCAGACTCTTCTTAATAACAATAAAATAAAATCAGATTTTTCTTTGACTGATGGTGAGTGGTATGAGAAGGGATAAGCACTTTCCCTATATATGAAATTAGCTCTGTATTGAAATATGTTTGCTTTAAACCTGTTTTATTAATAAATCTTTATTTATCACATTCATTTTTTAAGATACACACTGCTTTGCAGTGCAGCTCTGTTGAGTTGATGCTTGTGATTTTGTCTTCTCTGTCTGCTTGGAGGTGTTTCTGATACTTCATAGAGGCTGTAGGATGTTCTCTGTTTTCTACAAATCTAGCCGCAGGATGTACTGTTTAGTCCTTTTTCTGTTTCTGTCTCCTGTGTTTTTCTTTGCACTCCCTTTCTCTCTCTGTGCTGTCAGGTTTGGTATTATTTATTACATGTAAAGTATTGCAAAAAACAGAAATAAATGAGCTGTGGAGCTTTTCATCCATAATGCTTGCTAATTGGGTACGAGGCCTGCAGGTTGTCAGAGACTTTGTAATATGAATTATCTACATAATACACAACAGGCATGGGTGCACTCAGTACCAAATTCTTTAAGGAAAAGCTGTCTGGGACCTGTGTTGACAGCGAGGTGTCAAAGCTTTACTTTCTTTAGAGTTCCACACCAGACTCTGCTGGTTTATCTCTTCTACACCTCCTAATTCCATTTGAATAAAAGCAGTTTTCTTGTGCAAATGTTCCTAAAAAACAAGCCTTGGGTTTTAATTATTTTACAAACGTTTTGGAAGGGCTTTTCCTTAAATCCTTGTTTCTCAGATTTGTGTTTTTGTCATTTGAAAAGACATCAGCTCATTTAGAGGGTTGGACTTCACACATTGGGACAAACTGTTTTCAGTGGGTAGTCTGAGGATAAACAGGAAGTGCTGACCCCTCGTGGTGAGAACTTTAAACAGCATTGTGTAGCTTTGACGTCTCACTCAAACATGTCGAGGTTCCTTTGTCCCTCTCTGGACTCTGGCATTTTTGAGGGGCGCTTCATCTTTAACAGTCTGGTCAAAAAAGTGCACCATTTCAGTCCTGCAGTTTCACACATCTACATTACAGTCATTCAGCAGTTTAATAACTAAACCAAATTGTAAAAGCCCTGTATTAAAAGCTAAGGGGACACACGATTCGACAGCTTTAAATCATCACTTGTAGAGTGTACAAGTAACAACTTTTTTTTCGTTTTGTTTGTCCATTCCTTTCTACAGCGGTGCATGGATTAACTGAGGTTTGCAGTATTTACCACACGTCTCCAGCTCCTCTGTTCCAGCACGCCTGATTCAGATGAAAGCGTCCTCAGCTCTGCAGCAGGATGAAAACGGCATGTTCCTCCCATTTATCTGGATCAGGTGTGCTGGAACTGGAAAACATGGAAAAACATGCTGGGCCCAGAGGACCCGGGTTGGGAAACAGAGGCTTAAAGGCCTTTTTACGTGAATCAGAGCTGGAAAAGCTGAACGGCGTGAAGGACAGCGTGCATTTAGGACCCTGGCCTGAGGCACTGCTCCAGAACACTTTGGTATCCAGAGGAGTTAAGGATGGACCTGATGACCGCAAGCTGCCCGGCCGAAATCTTTAGGCCTCCCCCATCGTTCCCTCACTGTGCAATACACCTGTTAGAATTGGGCTATAATTACTCACTTTAGCAAAGCATGCTACAACTTAATCCATGTAAATAACTGATTGTATTATTCCTTTTAGATTCATATTATTCCATTTATAATTCTACTTTTGGGTTCAACTCTCTGTCTGTGCCTCCTCCTCTCTGTTACAGTCAATGTCAACATCCACACTTTCTTATCACATTCCACCAAAACCTGCATGAATTAGGACCTGGCCTGTTCAGGTCAGAGCTAACTGGCCAATAACACTCGGTTGCGTCCAGCCGTCCTCCCCTTTCGAAGCCCAGAGGAAAACTGCCCATCGCAATCGGAAATCGAGGCTCTTGCCGACTGAGATCCTCCGGGAACTTTGTCTGTTAGAGCCCAGCGCTGATTTACTTTGCTTGTGACCAATAAATGTCATATTTGTACTGTTGATCTACTCTGGTTTATTCTCAGGCTTCCAACAAAAGAACTGATTCTAACAAACCCCAGCCTTTGGATTTTGGTCTCATATGTCCAAATGAAATTGTTTGTAGGGTGTTTGCAATATTTTTTGTATATCATTTTTAAATTCAGGTTTGTATATCTATATATATATATATTTTTTTTCTTCTGTTTTCTGGCAACCCTTTGAATTAAGCCCCAGAGTCGTGCCGTCTCAATCTTGAACATCATTGCCTGTGTTTTTTCTTGGCATTCTGTTATCACACATCTAAACGTTTCTGCCTAACAGAGTTCAGATTTCCAGAGCCTTGCTCCTAATTACACTGAGTTTCTGTGCCAGTTCCAAGACTGAGCTTAGTTTCCAAACACTGACGGCACAAAGTTTCTGTTTACAGAGTCACCACAGGCTGCTTTATCTCATGTCGTCTTTCAGCTGAGGCTCCATTTGCCTCATTTTAACAAACAGCTATAACAGCAGGATTTTAAATCACTGACATTGGAGAGGATTTCTCTTCTTTTCAATATTTTAATTAAACCGGACTTATGATGAAGTTGATTCCTTATTATTCAACCCATCTTGTATGTATATTTAAATAAGTTGTATATTTAAATAAGTATTTTTTCTTAATTCACCACTCTCAGTTGATACATTTCACCCTTTCTTTTTCAAAATCTAAAGTCTGTCTCTAATTATGAAACTTTTTTTTTTTACTATGATTACTATGATTTACTATAATTAAATAGAAAGATTCTCTCGATATTTCTTTTTTTTTTTTACTAAAGATGCAGCATAGATCTCAGAAATCTCTGGATACAACATTACATAGTTAATAAACCTACATGCATCTTGTCCCCTGCTGAACATCCCTGCTCACTAATTACTCCCCGACAGGAACATGAATCAATTACTGAGATGCAGCGGTTGCTCTGTGCACTGGCTTTGCTTGAAGTGTGAAACCAATTAGCCACAGAAATTGAGCTTTCAGCGTTCTTGCAGAGCTGAACTGGATGAACCCTGATGGACCCGGATGATTAATGACGGGGGCTTGTAATGGCTATCAAAACACACACATGGCCGTGCTCACTGAGGCGACCAAACACAAATTTCATCACAGACTATTCACCACAGATCACTCAGAAAGATTTACCCGTCAGGCAATCCAAATCAAAGCAACCAAATCTGAAATATCACCGGCGTATTTTCTGTAACAAGTCACTGATCGCTCATAATAGACAGAAAGGCCACGGTTTGTTAAAAAAAATAAGAAAACACCACACAAATGCTCAGAAAACTTTTTTTTTGTCATAATTCAAAGTTCACAGCCCTTCACATACTGACAAAGTTCGACAAGGCGTACAGAAATCAATGACATGACTAACTACAGAAAGGACCTCCGAACAATAGGACTTCATTTGGCTCACATAGTACAGGTCAAAGAAGTGGATTTTTCTGCTCGTTTGAAATGATTTTAATCAGCAGGTTGAGCAAGTCAGCTGGACACAGCGGCCTGGCCGCGGTGCAGAAGAACAGATTCATCAATTAGCCCGAAATCAGAGGACAGAGCTGCTCCCCACAGCCAATCAGAAGTCAAAGCCAGCAGCAGGTCGTCTGGGTTTAGCTCAACACCCAAATCCAGGCAACAATTTTACATGCAGAGAGACAAAGGTTTGTCTGGATAAGCTGCTCCGACCCCTTTGTGCTTTTGTTGTCACACCATCAGCATGAGCTCCAGTATAGCTAGGCTCTGTTTCTTAATCTTTTATCCTCGAGAAAAATAGCATAAAGCTTGGTTGCTCCAAAAAATGAAAAAGGCCAAGGACACAATGAGGTAACATACACTGTAATAAATTAGTCAGTTGGAAAAAAAAAAAAACATTTTCAAGAGTCAGTAATACAAAAATGGTATCAAACACACATGATGCAACATTTTAATTAAACACATTCATATTTTTCTCTTTTTTTTAACCCTTAAGCCAAACAAGTTTTCTGTCCCACTCTGGAAACCGTGTTGTAGATTCATTCTGTTCCTGGCTCCACTCCCAGGTGGTGAATTTGGGTGCCATTCATTTGATTTTTCATCTGTAACATTCTCAATTCAAAAACAGCCAAATGTGGAACTTAACTTTCAATTCTTCTCTAATCACAGAATACCAAATCGTTTCACGCGTTACTCTTGATCACTGCCGAGGCAACAGGGACACGCAGGCACACAAGGCTACAACTCCGATCTCCTCTGCTTGCTTTGTTATTAGATGTTACATTCAGATATTCTCGGTGCCTTTCAGCTGACTTGCAGGTTTGAGAAGAAAACGACATGCCAATAGGAAAGTCAGAAACTGTATTAAAAGTGCAAAAATGTATTCCTTCAAGAGTAGCTTCACGTCCCCGTGAGAAACTTGTCCACCAACATTGAAGTCCGATAACAGTACTTGCCATTTCAGAGTTATTAAATTGTTCATTCCCCACCCCCACAAACGGACAAACACGGACACAATGAACACATTGTTTCTTCAGAGAGGTTTTGCTTCAGCTAACACACTGTAGGTGAACATGGCTTTGAGCCGGAGGGGAGCACATCAGTACTACAGTCTGTCTTTCTCTGTCCGTCACAGAGCAATACTCATCCCAGACATCCTGAATTCAGAGGTGGAGTTGGAAAAGCCCCTGGATTGGAATAAAGTGACATCACATTATTTTGGTTAGTGGCCAGTGCAAATCAGCTTCACTAGCCTGTTCGGAAAAGCATGAAGTTCTCCTCATCTCTCATCTATTTATTAGTTCTATAGATTCTCTGTAAAACAGCAGTGAATTTGTCTACTTTTTCCACCGATAATTAGATGCTTTTCATATCACAAATATTTTTACTACACTTTAAGATACAAAAACACGGAAAGAAAGGAGTTAATTCATTTGTTAAGAAGGGAAAGAATACACAGGGACCTGCTCATACAGTACTGATTGTGGATTGCTCAATGAAACTTATTAGAGGCAGCCCAAAGATCAATAACTATTTTGAAATAACTGGTCAAATAAAGTGGCTCTTTTGCACTGTCCATATACATGTGGGAAAATAATCTTCAGTAAAAAATCTCTGTAAACTTGGCCCTTAACAGATCAGTATTTGTAGAAAACCCTAATACAGCTACTTTAATGATTCTCTTATTCCATTTTTGTATGAACGTTAATCACATAATAGCCTATTTGGCCACAATAGATACTTTACATTTCCTTCCCCATCTCCCAACTAACCTCCCAAAACCAAAGCGTGACCACAAAATACCTGCTTCTCTCTTAGTTATTCACACCCCACTTAACAAGAACCCAACATCCTCCAACACCAGCCGGCTAAATCACCAGCCATTCATCCACTGAGCGGCGGGTGTCCTCTGCGGTGGAAGAACACCCAGAGGCCTACACGGGGGTCACAGGGGCTTTTCGTCCACACGAGTGCGGCGCGGAAAGGTGAAGAATAGCACAATGTTGTCTGTAAAACACGAGGAGCCACTGACGCGATTACTCCCTTTTCTTCTGTTCTCCAAAGAGCACAGAAGTGTTCCATCAGGCTGTTCTCTGGTCCTCCCCCATCCCTTTTGTGTTCCAGCAAGTCGAGCACTGCTGGGGGGTTCCCTGATATCCAAAGGTGTGTTGGTATGCGTGTGGGTTTGTGTGTGTTTGGGGTGTTTGGAAGGACAGAAACGGTGAGAGATGTCACAATATGGTGCAGTGGAACCTGTGGGAGCCCGTGGAACGCTCTGCTCTCCATTTCATCTTCTTTTTCTTCTTCAGGTTTCGCTCTGGAACCTGTTGTCTGCAAGAGGGGGGGAAAAAGTAAAAAATTAGCATTCCTCATTTAAGAAAAGCAAGTGGAACCCAGTCTCTATGGAACATCCCTGCAGGAAGTTAATTTCTGAACACTCGCGCTCATCTAAAGCGACCAGATTAGTGCTACTAGCTGTGATTTTTGCTATACAAGACAGAATCTTTCACTTATGCTCCATCAATTCCAGCAGCTTCTGTTCAAATCATAAATGGATAAAACTTCAAACCCCAGTCAGAGAAAAGCTGTGACGGAAAAGCTTTTTCTCACCAGCTTCATTTTGTGGCCTATTAAAGTGTTATTTTTGCATTTCAAGCATGTAACACATTCCAAAAAAAAATAAATAAAAACAGAGGTTATTCCAAGCTGGCAAATGAGTACTTTCAACCACTATCCAGAATAAGCCAACACACGGTGGAAACATCTGAAATCAGACTTAACAGTGTTCAAAGTTCTTTCAAAGGTGGGACAACACAGGCTGGACTAAAAATAGGAAACCATTCCTGAGCCAACCATTCAGAAAGACAGGATGGAGATCCCATTGAAGTCAGTTTTTGTCAAATATAGGAAGCAGCAGGTCATCTATTTTGTTTGCACTAAAGTGGGAATTTGGCAGGAGGATGGCCCAGTCCCAAAACTTGAAGAAAGAGCTGTTGCTTTTAGAGCTAATCAATACAATGTGCCCCCCCCTCACAGACAGACACCCTGCATGAACTAATGATGCATCCATTCTTTTTTTCTTTCTCTCCAGCAGACGAGATTTCTTAAATCCAGCCACTAGGGGGCAATGTTGCCTTACCCAGCTGTTTTGTTGCCTTGTGAAAGACAAGCCCCCCCCTTTCACAAAGCTTTCCACACAGGCACACCTACTGTCAACCTTACACTCCTCCATATGTGAATAATCACATATAAACCTTATGCACCAAGGCGATTTCATTTATTTGTATTTTTACTTAGCCCTGACAAAGAGTAGGACTCTTTAGAAAATTTATACCTGCATAGTCTGGTATAAATACTTGAACTAAGACATCAAAACATCAAATCATTCAAACATTTTTCTCTTTTTAGAACCAAACATTTGCTGCTCTGTACTTCTGTAACGCCACTATCTGAAAAAGTCAAATGCACCCAGAACAAGTGGGAGATGACAGCTTTCACCATAAACTATGACTGGCTGCATTATGCTTTAGAGGCAGTTATGTCATGTTTGACAACCTTCATGGCAAATTATTGTCCCCACATAGGATTCTGCAACAAAATCTGAATCTTACAACTAATGAACACAAACCCTCGTTACCTTATAACTCGGACCAGTTCGTGAAAGGCTTTGTCCACATTCATTGGGGGATCCTTGGCACTGGTTTCAATATAAGTTATCTGTGGAAACATGGAGAAATACAAACTGCAAGATGAGCCAATTCTTTATCATTATTGGAATTTGCAGTAGAGGGAGACATAAAAGAACTATTCACCATTTGGAAAAAGAACAACCACCAGTGCAGAATGGAAAATCAATAGTGCACACAGTTCCAGTCTGATTACCTGGAACTGGCATTAAATCACATCCTATGAGTCATGGACAGTACACAGCCTGTTCAACAGCCTCTGATGCCAGAAGGTGTTGCTTTTACTTGTTCTTTAGGCAGATTATATACAATAAAAATGATCGATAAAGCTAAATGTGCACAATATATAATAGGGGTTCTGCAAAATGAAGTGTCTCACCACAAAAATGCTTACTCTGCCCCTTTATCTGCCCGTCACAATATATAAAAAAGCAAAGAATGTGAAGGTCCTGCACGTGTCCAACTGTAAGTCTGGAACTGGGGATTCAGGGCAGCTTCTTTACTCACATTATGCTTTGCAGCCATCTCCTGGCCTTGGTCTGTTGTGACTTTCCTCAAATGGACCAAGTCCACTTTGTTTGCAACCAGCACCATTGGGAAGGCCTCCCTGAGAGTGAGTGGAGAAAACGTTAGCATGTCTGTATAAATACACCACTCATTTTCCTACCGTCGCCTCTGGATTGTGATTAAAGTGTCAGCAAGTCAGCTGCTGCTGTTATTTGACTCTCAGTATCATTAAAGCTGAACTTTGTGTCTCAGATGCTTCACACACTCTGAAAAGGTGCCAGCCAGCTGTCAGATTTCAGCAACACTTCTGTCTCGTGGGGAAAATGTTGCACCAAATGCAGAAAAACAGAAACACGATCAGCTGGATCTCGTTTTTATCGTTTTCTACCCTTTACTCTGATGTCGAGTAAACCACAAGCAGTTTTTGGACTGAATGATCCCAAACAAAAGCAGTGTGGCTGGAACCACACCAGCATCCTCACACCAACCGGATAAAAGAAGTGGTGACAGCACACAGATCCATCTTTTTTTCTTCTTTTTTTGTTTCAGTTACAATTCTCCCAACAACTCCTCCAATTCAATAAAATGACAAGAATTCAGCTGAAATATGCAGCTGGGGAGTAAACAGATACTATGTTTAGCCAGAATGTAAATTCTTGGCCAGTGACCTTTGACAAAGCTAGTTCCTCTTGTTCATTCTGACTTCTATATATAACATTGTATACACTTTTTTAAAGTCAATGGTTGAATTGACTCCTTGTAGTATTTCCCCCTGTTTTCACACTAGACAGTGTGACTGAGACCAGTCGGTCCATCTGACTTCTAAATACAAAACAAGTTTAATAATCAAAATCTTTTTTTTTTTCCTATCTCTTTGGTGGAGAAAACTCCCTCAGAGCTCTCACAGACTTGGATCTTTGAACTAGTTCATTCCAGCACAGAGGCAAAGCCTCTCACACTGCCCATAAAATCCAAAAGGCATTTAGGTGTTAAACTATCCACACCAGCTCTCTATCATACCTCCATTGTGAGGTCAGGTTGATGAATCCTACCTGTCTTTGACCCGTAGAATGAGCTGGTGGAATCGGTCAACATGTTCAAAGCTGGCCTTGTCTGTGACGGAGAACACAATGAGGAAGCCGTCCCCCGTCCTCATGTACTGCTCCCTCATGGCGCTGAACTCCTCCTGGCCAGCTGTGTCCAGCACTGGGGAGATGTGGGAGCACAGAGGCATGAGCTCACAAAACAGACTTCCCTTTTTCATTCACCCAAATTAGATATACTTTAACAGTTCTATTCAGATATTCCTTTGTCCTTTTGTCTTAACTGAGTATTTAAAAGAATACAGAGAACCACCTCAGTGCCGGGCACTGCTCTGGATAGCCAACTGTGGAAAAACGGTCTGCTGCATTTTTTTTTTTTAAGTCCGATCCCACAGGAGCATTAGCATTAACATCTGTAACCCACAGGTCTGTGTCCTAACCATTAAGTTGTTATCAGAGTAAATCCCTGTTCAACTTGAGTCTGACAACTAAGTAAGTAGATAAATAACTTTAAACTTCAATACAGGCTCTGAAAGGCCGGTATCGGATGTGAAAAAAGCTAGATTGGGACATCCTTAAACTGTAGCTTTACAAATTGACTCTCTTCATTTTTTAAAACGGCTGCAATGCAATTTACCTTTAAAAATCACTTTGACTAAATCAAACTGAACTGTTGCAGAAGAAGGATAGTTTCGGCTTGATTAATAAACGAGATGCCTCCAAGAACTTAAAAACTTCAGCAGCGTCTTGTTGAAGTAGTTCCATTCACTTCTTTTGGATATTTCATCAGCTATCTAAAGACTGAGGTGCCACTATAAAACAGTTTACTGATAATGGCAAGCACATTCAACGGAAACCAAATGGGGAAAAAAAAAAGGAATTTTGCATGGAAAACCCAATCCTTGCCCCTCACCATCCAGTATGGCCCACTGTCCGTCTATTTCAGTGTGTTTCAGATACGAGTCCTCGATGGTGGGATCGTAGTCCGGCACAAAGATCTTCTGGAAAAATTGGATGGTTAGAGCGCTTTTTCCAACGCCGCCATCCCCCACCACCACCAGCTTGTATGTTGGCAGGTTGTCGCTTGGCACGGCACTGGTTGCCATGACTACCTCAACACTGGTGGTACAGGTGGGAAGTCAGCTAGTCGGTGGCTGATGAGATACACCTGTCTGAGAAGGAGGACACGCAGAGAGAGAGAGAGAAACAAGGGAGAAAAATGAGAAAAAGGACACGGAAGGAGAACAAAGGAGTTAAGTTTTTCCTTTTTTGTTGCAGCTGCTTTCTCATTACCATGGAAACAACAGAACAGAGCAGAGACACTGAACAAAAATAGATGGATGGAAAAACTACACATAGAAAGAGTTCAGAACAATTTCAGCCAGCAGTTTTTTATGGTCAAGGGAAAGCTCTTATAATCCACTCTGATGGATTAGAAGGGTTTTCCTATATAATCCATCATCTTTCCCCGAGTAAGGCTTTCACAAAAAAGTCTAAAAAACTCGAGTAGCCCTGAGAGTGGGTAGTATACATGACTATGGAGAAAGGTCAGGACAAACAAGAAAAACTAAAAGATTTTTTATGCATTCATCTAAAGAAAAACTGCTCCAACAGCAGGTCAGCAGTGATGGAAAATCTTAACCATGACAAACTGGTCCAGTTGTCGAGGTGGCACTGGTCTGGGTCCTGGCCTGTCCCAGTTGACGGTTTCATTTAACTTTTCACAGTTCTTGAAGTAGAGCTATATGTGATCATATTTGCGGCAGCTTATTTTACATGTATGTTTTCTTTGGTTTGTCTTCCATGCTATGTTGTGGTTTAAGTAAAACATATTTAAGTCCAGAAGGGAACTTTATTATTTTGCAACTGGCCCAAAAGATTAAAGTTGCCTCAGAACACTCTCAGTCCTTGACCGAAAGCCAGACCAATGGCTGAAGATTTAGAGCTTTCCAGAAAAGAGAAACAAAAAGTTTTTCCTGTAAAGCAGTGAGGGAATGAAGCAGCTTTTGTGCTGGACAGCATCAATGCAATGACAACGGTCAGAGAACCACAAGTCTGGCTGGAATCTGTTTTGGTCAGAATCAGAAACCAGACTCATGGAATCCTGTTTCTATGGACCTAAATAACCACAGAACCAGAAAGGGAAATGTGACAAGGGTGAATTACTGTATTTTGTAATCATGGCTTTTTCTAGATTAAAATAAATATCCCACAATATGAGGTAGAGGGTATCTAAACAGAGAAGGTTCAATTTCAGGGAAAGATTAATAGAAAATGTATCGAAACGTTGCTTGCAGCACAGGGAAAGGGCCTGTACAGTATATGGAACATGTACAGACCAACCACTGAACTTACTGGATCATGTGATCTCAGACACAAAGCAGCAGCAAAAAAAAAGGTGACACACTCCAACAAGTGTGAATTCAGCCTTCTAGGCTATTTAAACACATCTCCAAATGGGCAGCAGCATTCCATACAACCCAACCATCTTCTCCCATATTAAATCGTACCACTCCCAGCAGAAATGTTGATGTCAGCATAAAAAAAATCAATCAGGTAGTTTGGCAGGTAGTGATGCTCAGAGAGGGAAATCCAACGTTAAACAAGAAGCAACAGCACAACACGGCAAAAAAGACCCTGACAGCAAGCTTCTAAACATTCATTTAAATCAAGTTTTTTTTAGGGGGGGGAATTAAGGAGGTGGAGAAAAAAATAAGGGAAATTTTCATTTTTTCCTCAGGGATTTTGAAGGTCGTTCCATAAAGCACAAAATTTGGTTTATATAAGATGAACATGAAGTCTGACTGAAGCAAAAACCAGAACTAACAGTCCAGTCCATCAAAAACATCCAAGCTACAGCAATATTGATTAAAACGTGTATATATTTCTTTCCCTCAGTGTGACCTCCTCCTCCTGATCTGTGAGCTGCTTCACTGTTGCCAACCTCACCATTTTGTCACCAAACTTGATCTCAAAGCTGTAGCAGCAAATACAGCCCTGCATTGTGTTTTGCTATTGTGATTACAATCTTAATAGGCAATCAGTGCAAATACAATAACTGTGCATCACTGTTTCTGACCAAACATCCAGTCATATGACTTTTGGTTCATGCCACCCAACTATTGAGGGGTAGGGCAGCAAAAATGAACAAATATTTATCCTGAAAAGGTTGTGCTGACTTACAGTCCCAGTCACTTCCAGTCTATACAACACACATTCTAAACTAAGGTTTAAAGAAAAGAATAATCCCATACACTTTGTACACAGAAGGGGTTTATGTTTCATAATTTGTGAGTTTAAACCAGACAAAAGGGGAACGCATACACTCACTACTCCCACCGCACCCCCACCCACGCACCAATTCCTCCTCTATCCACCAGGAAACAGCTGTCAGCTGGCTCTAGTCCATCCTTTCCTGCTCGGCACAATAGAGGGAAGGAAGATGTTTCCTTCCTTTCCAAAGCCAACCAGTTATTCAGCCAGCCGGGCAGAGCAGCAAATGGCCTGCTCACATTTATTCGCTGTGGAAATGTCCCAAACCGGGCTGCTGCACCACCAGGACACTTCAAATCGTGCATTTTTAGCATTGTGGAAGAAGAGAGAAGAGAAGGACCTGTGATCGAACAGCCTCTGACCACAGTACCTGCTGGCCTCTCACATGGGCTGACCAAACTAAAGCCGGGTCAGGTCACAGCGCTGCCGGTCAGGGCTGGGGTTTATTCACAGACTCTTTGGTGTGGCCAGCAGTTGGAGGGAATGCAGACTGGGCCCGTGGGTTTGGCCGCTGCTCACATCAAACGCATAGGAGCACGCCCACTTTGGACAAGATTAAACCCGATCAGTGTAGAAATTGTAACGCCTTCGAATAGACAGGAAGCCACACTTCATAATTTGGTTTGCGTTGCACACAAACAGGAAGAAAAAAAAAGTGCCCCTCTCTTACTATTTGGTCTTTAATTATTCTAAAACCAGCCTAAAAACAGGGCAATTGGATTTGGAAAAGTATCCACATCAGAACACAAGTTCATGTTTTTATGTTAGTCTAGTGAGAAACCCAACATTTGTGACTTCCTCCTCCTCCAGCACAGTGAAAAAAAAAAGTTTATCATCATTTCCACTATGACATTTACCCACTAATAAGTCATTCTGCTGGTGAAACTTCATCCACCTCAAAACATGGGAGCAGATGATTGGTTGGACTACAGGCAGCTGCTCATTTTAACATGTTTTTGAAAGATACCATGCATTTCAAACTAAAATGTTCTTTATTTTTGCATGCAAATGATTAGTAGATTTAGTGTTAACAGCAGATACTTTAAGTCTCATTCGGTAAATGAGAGAAATGGCTGCTTGTTGTCTAAGAATAAAGGGATTTCATCGTTTGTATGGGAGCAAATCACAGAACAGGAATAAGGAACAAAAACTCCTGCTTCTAAAGCACTCAAACACTAACTATTCACAGCAGAGCTTCAGATTATAAACATTTCTTTTACTTTTATATTTCTTTTTTCATTTACAACATGACCTGTTATGACACACGACTCGAGGCAAAAAAGCATCTCAAAGGAAACCATAGCCGACTAAGTACAAACAAAAGGAATGAACAGTTTTTTAGGACTCTCGTTGTCTTGTGGGGTTTGGTTCACTCTTATGATAATACTGGACTTCAACATAGCTGAGTGTAACTCATGTTTGAAGGTAGTTCAAAGTTTTTTTTTAATGGTTTTAATTCAGACAAACTGCTGGAGGTTGGAGTGGGGATGAGTTGGGTGTTTGTCTATGCCCTTGTAAGGAGTTTTCATAGAAAGAACTGTAACTTAACTGTTTAAAACAGATGTTTTGTTGTGTTACTTAACTTACTTAACTTCAGAGCCCTTTAAATGTATCTTTATTTATTTATGTGTGGGTGGCAGTGCCATCTAAACACATCCATCTATTGGGTAAGACTACGGATCCTTTAGAGATCACAGGGGACTGGAACCCAGCCTGGCTGCACACTGTAGCGTGTCTGACCTGTGAAAACACACACAGAGGCTGTCGCCCACCCCCCAACAGTGACCAGTGCTGGTGGACACACCAGCATGCACCCACACGTCGCAAATGTTCCAGCAGCGTGCTGCGACCTACGGCGGCTGGTCCTGCTCCGCCTTCCACCCCCGTACTGAAATGTTTGACTTGTTTCTGGTTACAGATTCTCAGGACTGACCCCTCCACCCACACCAACAAACCCAGCTTCGACAGGAGGAATTAGAGGAAAGAAACTTTGATTCAACGGTTTTTTTGTTAAGAAAATCCCACCCTCATCAGACTCCAGAGTGTAAGGTGCCTACTGGTTTCAGATGACATCAGTAAATGGTTTTCCAGGTCCAGCAGCTCCCACATCTCTGCTCCCCTCCCTCTCAGGCCGCCTGCGGCACAGGTAGCAGAACCTAACACGTCCTGGTGCTGGCCTGCATCAGGAGGACATCCTCTCTGTCCCTCTATCTGATCTGCAGAGTTTTGAGTGTTACTTTATATCGATTAGGATCAGGCCGAGCACGTTTCCAGCAAAACGTCTGCTGCGGATTACAAACAGCAGCAGCGGAAATAGATCAGATCAGGACCCAAACGTCTCCAGAGTTCCAACACAAGAGAAAGCTCTAAACCATGAAAGCAATATTTACCTTTTAAATCTAACTAAAAAGGGTTTAATGCTGACTTTTGGAAAATTCATTTAAAAAAATTCACCCCCACACACTTTTAAACAAAAATGTTATGACATACACAGATTTGATCATTTCATTGATCCCAAACATCTGCATGCAACCCCTGTCCACTACACAATGAACACTGTGCACATCTTAACATGGCATTCAGTGGCATCTGCAGCTAATGTACAGTTCAAACATCTCCCTCTAAAATCAATAGAGTAATTATGACTCCTCAGGGATCATAATGGGGCACTGAGTGTGGCCGTTGGGCTCACCAGGAGGTCAGAGCTGAGCTTTACGATTCGATCTCAAGAGAGAGTGTTCACAAAGGTGCGTTGACGCCGGGTGCCTGATTCAGCCCTCAAAAAATATCAGAAAACCATGTCACATTGTTAAACACACAGGATATGGCAACTTCACAACATCAAGCTAATGAAACAGAGCCCAGTCGCACCATTCTTCTGCTGATGTGAGGCCCCATGATAAAGAGATCCGTTAAGATCCATTCATGATACGCATGGGGCCGTTTTATAAATGTCTTCCTTGTCTGGCTACATACGTGACAAGCTATGAAATGATAGGATGTGGTTGAGCCCTTGCTAAGTGTCATGTTCATGAACGCTGTGTGCTGCTTTTTGAACCTCTGCATGATGGTTAGAACTGGTTAAAACTTAACTAACCTAAACTAAACTGAATATTCCAATTTCAAATCTCAACGTTTCCAAAAATCTAAAGTCTGCCTTTTACTAAAGATTTTTTTTGTCTTTTACATTACAATTTTGAAGAAAAATACCCTGTTCCAGCACCGCTCACATTAGATCTTAGAACATAATTTAACAAAGGTGATTTGTGATGTTGACAGCGTTCTTTTAGACGTTCAGCGTTCTGATGTGTGGAGCCTCTCTGTCTGCAGTGTTTTTAAGTTGGAGCTACACAAGTTGGTTCTACTGTCATTGAAGTTCTGATTGTGATATATCACTGAAATATTTCCACATATTAAAGGACAAACAAGAATGATAATGTGATAAGAAGTTATCTAAATACTCCTCCATGTTCTCATAACAGCAGTCGATATCTTTTAATACATTTTTCAATAGAAAATAAAAAATGACTGCTCACCTGTGTGTCACTAGTAATAATAATAATTAAAAAAAATAGGGCTGCAAGGTATGTTGTTCCAGCATCAACACTGTGATAATCTAATCACTTGGGCTAAAGAGTCAAATTTCAGCCACGTTTTTCCATTCGAAAAAAGGAAAAAAAACATGACGACTCCACAAAATACAAGCGAGTGACTCATTAAGGAAGGACAAATTCTCCCAAACAAATAAGCAACCCTGGAAATGTCTGTAACAGGTAGTGCTGACCTCCAGCTTTCACTGTCGCCAAAAACGGCGCTTTAGCTGCTGAGAAGGAATACTGAGAAAATCAGCTTTGGGCCAGCATTTCGCATGTGACAATCCAAATGAGGCCCAAAGCAGTGAACCATCATCAGTGTGGAAGCAACTCAGCCATTTCAAAGTTGTGGCGATGGGTGCACGCCATGCTGAGAAAAAAAAAAAAAAAAAAAAAAAAAAGCCTTTCTGTGGCCAAGATACTTCCACAAATATGAGGCCCGTCTTTGTGCCGAGAAGTCCTTCTTTGCTACATTTCTCCTGAGCGTGCACAAAGCCCAGAAGCTTCTCCCTCGGGGCACACGCGGCCTTTCCAAATGAATTCAAATGAAATCTGTGCGTCCAAGAACTCCCGGGCCGGCTGAAACTATTTTGTAATACACCGAAATGTCTAACAGATGAGTCATGACAAATGAGAACAGCCCCAAATGGAGCAGTACCCCGACGGGTGGACGTCTACTTGCCCGACTTGGCTCTGCTCATCCGGTGTAATGGCTCTATCCTCCGGAACAAACCACGTAGCATCGAATAAATCCGGACAAATGAGTCAAAATCACAACTTTTGGGCTAAAATTTCTACCTTTACAGACGTTATGGAAGTGTGAGCAGCCTCCTCAGCAGCAGTGTCTGACATTTGTTTATGATGGAGGAAATGAAAGGCAGCCCCCCCCCCCCCCCCCAGACAGGCCCAGTGATGGGATGATTCCAGCTCCCATCATCCCGGATGACGGCAGCTGGAGCTGGACGGGCTTCTCTCTGTCCACACGCTGGCCCTCTGCTGCTTCTGGATGAGCTCATGCTATGATTTGATACATGAAGAATCCCTTTGTTCCCTGTTTAATATGCACAGCATTTCTGCTCATAGCCCCTGTGTGCACAGCTGGCTGAGGGGGGGCGAGCATAGACTGTTCGGGCTTTTATTTTTTCTGACGAACCACAAATAAAAAGACAAACCGTGTTTTTTTTCTGGGGCTCACAGGGGGAGTCCAGAGGGAGTCCAGGCCCGTCTGTGTAGGACGCATTCGGTGGGAAAAACCCACAGACAGCAGCCGCCCCTGGATAACGGATTCGAGTTGCTTCACATTTCTATTTTTTTAGCTAGCTAGCATACAATTAAAAAAAAGAAGAAGAAGAAAAAAGGGAAATTCCCCTACCGCTATCCTCTCTCACGCGCTTTAGGAAAACCAGCTGCCCTCCGGTGACCGTTTCCCGGGCTGTCAACGGTCGTTTAGCTAAGAATTGGTAGGTTACTGGTACCGGGGGCTGTTCGGGATTCCACATTAACGGAAGGTTTCGTCCGAATAGCAACGGGACCGTTACCGAGCGCCACCGTCTCGGCGGCGAAGCCACTCACCGCTGTGAACGTGTCCGTCGCGGGTCCAGAGAGATGTGTTCAAGCCGACATATTTCCCCGCCTCATCTCCGTCCTCCTCGGCTTCAAACCACCGCCGCCCTTTCGCCACAGACGCCGCGCGCTGCCCACATCTGCGAAACAATATGTGGAGTAGCTAATCTTTGTGTTACAACAGCTGATGCTAAAAATAGAAAAGCCCCAAAGGGGTGAACGACATTTTTCTCAAAAATGTTGAAGAGCTGAATAAAGATTTCCGGTCTGTTCTGATATCTGTTTCTACAAATTAATCTTGAGCAACGCCCTGGTTGTCTTTGATGACTTCTTCTTTTTCTGTTATATATTTATTCTGAAATTTAAAGAAACAGTGACAGAGTTCCTTCCCCCCCTCTATTTTTTTATTTTTTAGAAATGGACCATTCCCATGCACGTCTTTAAAGGGACATTCCTGTCAAATTAGCCCTCCAAATTTAGGGGTAGTTTAATCAATTCTATGGGCGGAAAGGGAAAACCTGCTAAAGATGTGGCTTCATCATTAACGTCATTGCATGCTGTCAGACTTCTGTTTTGGGGATTCATTGTTTATTTTACTCCTAATTTGCTTTAACTAACATATGTAGCTAGCCCAACTGCAGTGGCTTTTTTACAACCTCCAGACAAACTTTCAGAAATGTTTATGCACCAAATGAGCTGGATTTTATGTGACAGAAAAAATGCATTTACTCACGTGGAAGTAATGATAAATTCTTATCTCAAGATCATGCTTAAAACCATTTTTCCATTGACAGGGTTTCATGATTGGTTGTATCTTGTATGACAGATTTTTGACTATTTGCACATGCAGCTCTCAAACATGTTTGACATTTTACCTATTTTACCTACTATATCTACTTCATGTCAAGACAAATCAACTGGATGACACAATGAAGTGCCTTTTGCAGTCTTTCCATCCACATTTACATTTTCCACACTGTTTATTCCCAACAGGAAGTGCGTATTCATGTAATTCTGAAAGGGAAAGTCTTCATATTCCAAACAGAAGTTTGCCTCTGATTAATGCATTAATCACACTAGTAAGTTTCCACTTAATTGAAGTCTTTCCCCAGAACTGGAAACTATGATGCTGGTTACTGGCACATCCTCTAAATGGTAGCTTATACCCATAACGAACAAGAGGAAACAGTCAGAAAAGCAGATGCCTCATGAAGAATGTTTATTTGCACATTAGAGAGACTTAAATTTTTACAAAGTACCAATGTGTCGACATAAACTATTGGGATATGGAAAACAATTGTGACCAATAACGCAGAGAGTTATAGGTGGGATAAAGCACTACAACATACAAACGATTTTTTGTGGGTATAGATGCAAAAAACAGAGAGAAGGCTGTAAATAATTTAACCTAAGTATTGTAGCATGGAGAGGAAGCCTAATGTATATTTGACCTCATAAACAACAGGGCAGTACACACGTGTTCATGTTCCAGTGGCTAAGTGATGGGAAAGTGGCGGTCTCATGAAAGGATTGATTGCTTGTCCATCATGCACAGACCTTTTTGTTCCACACATTTTGTTGGCACGTGTAATACAGGGTCAGCCAGACCACAGCATGAACTCCCAAAGCAGTTTCTCTCCTTCATTTGGTCACATAGTCTGTAAAAATTGCAATGTGCCTTTTCTCTTAAGCAACATGAAAAGACAACACTATTCACTCACCTCCTAAGGTGTAGCTGGCATTCTCTCTCATGGATCATTAAACGCTTTTGGTGTCTGTGTGTGTCAGCATTGATTCACAGTCAAACAACATATGTTCATGCTTTTTCATGTGTGAGAAAACAGCTAATCTAATGCACAACACAGACTTTCTGACCTCATGTGGCTCCTCCACCAGCTTCAACCGGAGGTCAATTTTTCCAAATACGAATTTGAATTTTATCTCAGATTCAAATGAATTATCTGAACGTGCACCTCTGAAACATACCGTTGATCTTGTGCTGCATTAAGGTACTGCAACTGAACTATCAAATTTATTCATGAGGGCATCTTTCAGACAGTTATTTTACTGCATTTAAAAATTGATTCCATTAAAATTTACTTCACTACCTTGTGCAAGAGGAAAACCACCTTAACTTATTTAAATCACTGCAATTATAATGTGTACTACATTGGACAATGATACCCCCCTGAAAAAGAAAATAATCAGACAGACGAAGCTGGTTTCTTGGTATAATTCAAAGCTACATACTTAAAAAACGGACCTTCAACCCATCCAGCGTGTACCCTGCCTTTTGGTCCAATCACGGCTATGACCCTTCCAGGAATAAACAATCAATGGATTGTTACTTAAAAGCAAACTACAAGAAAGTTGAAGACAATATAGTTTTCCTCTTATTTACAAGATTGTCAATTGGTCCAGAACGGTAGTCCAATAACTTTGGACTACCCTTTATAAAGCAGGAACTGCTCATCAATGATTGGTGATTGAAGAGAGTAAAACACTCCCAGGTTTCTTTTTCATGTCGGTAACCAGGCTGACAAAGAGTCTGAGCTCTGCTGAGCCATGTGCTCCTTTAAATCTCATTAGTGGTGATTTCATGAACATCTTCACCAATAAAATGGTTTCTAACAGAGAGAAGATTCCGGGAATCCTTTCCACTTGGATCACTGAGCTGAAAAGCAACTTTAGAAATATCGTTAGAGCCCATTTAGACAGTTTCTGTCCAGCTATCAGCAGCAATGCCTTCCTCTACCATCCATGCTTCAGAACCAATCCAAACCAGATATTTATTTACATTTTCCCAGTAAGTAGCACTACAAATTTTGGATTTGATCAATCTGTCTTTGTACCACAAAGATATAAGGTTGCTTTACTTAACCCTGATTTAAAAATAAACAACATTTTCTTGAACTAAGAGTGTTATCTTGTTCTTCCACGCTGGAAGAATCGGAAAAGTCTGCTTCTAGATTCAGTGAGGTTTTTGTCATTGCACCTGAGCACCTCAGAGACAAACTGAGTGAGTGTGTTATAGGCATGTGTGTCTGTGTTTAATGATAAGGTAAGTGGACTGTACCAGCCTTGTTCGCTAGAAATTCCCAAGAGGATGGTTCCACTCCGGGCAGCCAGTGCCTGGCGGCCAGAACCCACCCTGATGTCCAAGACGATGCCCTCACTCCAGCTCCCTGGTGGCTTTAGGGGAACATGGGCCTCCAACCAGGAGCCCTCTTGCTGTGAGGTAACGATGCTAACTGGTAAATCTTTCTTCCTGCTCAAGAATAACTTTTCACAGGATTTTATAGGATATTCCCTGAAACATTATCACCCTATTTTAGGTCTGTATATATACATATAGTTACATTTATATATATATTCATAATTTTCAGTGGAATTTTGTATATATATATATATGTTGATTGTCTCTGGAGTGTGTAACGAAAATAATTTCCCTCTGGGATTGTTAAGGTATTTCTGATTCTGATTATGAAACATACAAACAAATTCACTTAAATTACCTCTGGCCTGTTTCCATGGAGATCATAGTCAGTTGTATCTTTTTACAAGGAACTGATTTCATTCAAATGTGCACAGACATCCCATGAATGGACTCAGTTATATCAGATAAGTAACTATGTGAGTGTTCGTTTGTGTTTTGCACAAAGTTAATTTATCTTCACAGAACAGCTCTGTCTGCCCTCCAACCTTTCTAATTGTTTTTATTTATTTCTTTTATATTCCTGATCTTTAAATACTGAAAGTTGTCATGATTTGTATTTCACCTCAATGTTAGGTATGGCCATTGGTCATTTATTTAAAATGGGGCAATCCTGAATAGATGAACACATAATTTAGTGGTTATTAGCTAACACGGGCGGTTGTTGGTGTGGTGGTTAGCACCATCTCCTCACAGCCAGAGGGTTCTGGGTTTGAGTCCACGGGGGAACCAGGACCTTTCTGGGTGGAGTCTGCACCATTCCACCATCCAGAAATCTGCATGTTGGGTCGATTTTACAATCCAAACTCCAAAGTGTGCGAGGTTGTTGGTCCTTGTGTGTCTCTGTGTGTCCCTGTGATGGACTGTGAACCGTGCAGGGTGACCCCACCTCTCCCCATTGGCTACTGGGATAGGCTCCAGTCCTCGTGAGACCCCATTAGGGAATAAACGGTGATGATAATGGATGGATAGATGGATAGCTCAAATACATTTTGATTAGTACTTAACAGGCTGTTTAGCTGTGTGTTGCACTTATGCCCACTCTTTTTAAAAGCACCACCCACTGACTCTCCTACCATCAGCAGCACTCAGCGGTCTTTGTCCGGTGCTCCTTGAAGCCTGTGACCATCAGCCATTTTGGTTTGCTTTAAGGTTTGAATGAACGTGTCAGTAGCTGTAGCCTCATCATGTGACTTAGATTTTTTTCACTGACATGTATCAGCAGCACAAGTTTCACTTCCTGTTCTCTGATACTTTGCTGCTTCTGTTCAACTCTCACAGATATAGAAATACTATCCATTGATACATTCCCCTACAATGAAATAAATAAACTCAATACTTAATGATAAATATATTTTTTTTACTTTCAACAATATCACTGTTCAAGTAAAGCTGGCTTTAAGAAAAACATAATTAACATTTTTTACATGTGCTTGCAGTCTACATGGTTTGTGTTAAAAATCACAAAGCTGTGAGAAATCAAATGTCTTAGATAATATTTTTCTATATGTCAGTACTCATTAGATGTGATTCTATATCCATGAAGATAACTTGAAAACAGTAAGAAAACCATCTCCCAAGCTATCATCCATTGGGATTGAAATTTTAGAAGAAAGCTTATACTTTGTGGCCCTGCGATGGACTGGGGACTGACCATGGTGACCCCGCCTCTGGTGACTTCTACTTGGTTGCGTTGTGGGTTAAACGCAGCTCTAAACGGCTCCATGCATTTTCAATATGAGAGAGATCCCAGCTTCCGTGCGTCTGCATCAAAGACGTAGCCCTGTAGAAAAGAGACACTTTAAGCATATCAATCTTAATGAATTTCAGACTCATCACAAAACTTTTGCCTCGTTTTTCTGTTTGTCTTCTTTGAGTTTATGGTCTGAAAACTCTCAGGTGTTTCAGAACTGACTTTTATGGTTTCCTCTTTGAGTAACGCAGCCTAATGTTACATTTCTGTGTATAATGTCTTTATGTTTTGTTTTTTGCTCTATATGTGATGTGTGTTTCTGGCATTAAATTCTAATAAAGCTCATCAGCACTGCAAATGACCTCCTTGTAAACCCAACATGATCAGATTGCTTAGAAAACGACATTAAAAAACATTTATAATTCCAAAGGTCTATTTTCCCCTCCAATAAAAAGAATGCTATTAATATGGGCATGTGCAAAAAAAAATTGTTAAAAAAGAGAATGTGAAAGACAGGAGACGGAGAGATAAAAAGGCTTGTGGAAAAGGAGAAATAAGAAAACATTTGGGGGATAGAAACATAAATATATGAATGTACAAATATAATCAAATAAATTTTTTCATAGTAAAAACACGTTTCCTTGTACAATGAATATTTACCTTTGTTGTCTGTAAGAATGACTACATAAACATAAACAAAATAACGTAGTAAATTATGCTAATCCGAAGGTGCGTCCGCCTACAGCGTCGGGTTTTCATGTCGCAAAAACTGTCGTAAAACGCTCTGACGACAGTTACATCGCTTTACGGACGTCGCTATCCGTCATGTAACAGCTTGGAGATGTGCACTCTGGCTGCCCTTGTAAAGATGTGTCCCACAGGTGAGTGTTTATTCTTACTTTCTCTGAAATTGAAAAGTAGAACAACTCTTTTTTTTAACCTCAATGAGGATGTGTGAAACAAAGCAAACCTCTTCAATGTTTTCCTTCTTTTCGGTTCAGCTAGCTGAGTGCAGTCTAGCTTATGTAGCATCATGAAGAAGTTCTGTAATGACATGCTTTTAGAAAAGACACCTTTGTATTAGTTTTATATAGTTGGGCTTTACACCATTACAGCTTTTTAATAAATGTAAGAGCCAATGGTCGATTGTTGAAAATGAAAACTGCCAACAAAGCTAATTATTAGTTCATTTTTCATTTTCATGATCTGCTGAATATTTCCTACTCTAGTTTTTAGCTTGTGTTATAACAAGTTTATTAAGTGATTCAACTAATAGCTAAAAGCAGCTAATTCACATAAGTGTGGTTTCCATTTTTATGACAAATAATAACAACGAAAGCTTTATTTATGTAGTTTTCTAAAAGTAATTATTGATTAATAAAGTGTGTTACCATCTTGAGGGACACTTAAAGGGACTTTAAAAGAGCTACAAAGCATTTAATTTTGACGCTTTTTACAACATATAAGAAAATTTCATTAATAAGCAATAACAAATGACTAATACAAATCTTGAAAAAGAAATTTAAGTGAGCTTGTCAAAATTCTGTGACTGGATCTTCAGTCAGCCAAAGTTGTCCGTCCTGAGGACATATTTTGGACGTAGAAATGGACGTGGTTACAACACTTGCTCCATCCAGAGGAGGAAAAAGGCAGAGACCAGGCTCAGCTTCCATCCACGTTTTCTACTAGTCCACAACCTCTACAGTTTCCAGTTTCTGTGTCTGTACCATTCAGGTGTGACTCACTAAAGAATCTGTCTTCCCCACAGATGTTTCCTTCTGAGGCTTTCTGCACTTTTCTGCCTCTAAATCAGTCCAGAGCAAACCCACGAGATGGCGTCTGGTTTCCTGAAGTATTCGGTCCTCCTGCAGAGGTACCGGACGCCGCTGCTCATCACCAGCTGCGGGGGGGTGTTTGCAGCCAACATGTTTTACCACGTCTGCCCCGACCTATCCTTCCGGAAGCTTTACCAGGCCTGGTACAAAGGAGAGCCGGTGGAGCTGTCTGAAAAGCTCAGCAGCGTCTTCCAGCAGGTACCGTATCTGGAGATTTCAGTTAAATTAAACCGCCTTTGAATTAGGGATGGCCGACATGAGAAAAGGTTATATTTAGATTTTTCTTTTCCCCCAAAAAAATGTTTGATTTCGATTTTATATCGCGATATGAACAAAATTATTTTATTTGATTTTTTCTGGAATATTACAGATGTAATAAGTCGTTCGGCCGACTTCAATTACTCAAATTACCTCCAAGCAGCTGAACTTCTCAGGACCTTCTTTTCTATGATGTCGTCCTTCTCCTGGGCAGCATTTCCACTTGATTCCTGTTCAGAGCTCCCGTCTACAGAGTTCTGGCTCATTTTTAAAGTCTTAGATTGTTTTACGGTTTGGCTGGAGAAATTCACCACAGCTTTGCGCTGCTGCTAGCTTCTACGTGCGTGTGGCTCTGTTCCAGCCGATTAGATGTGATTGGGTATTCGCGGGTCTGTTAAAAATTTGATGATTTTTTTAAGGCGTCGGCTAATCGAACATCTCATTTATAATCATAGAGAAATTTTACATCGCGAATAAAATAAAATAGAAAAAAATTACATTTATTTTATTTCTTTAATCAGGACAGTGCACATTAATGAACAATCTCATACAGATTGTAAATGAGCCAGATTCTAGCATAGTTGCTAGTTTACATCTGTTGTCCTGAGGCAAGAAGACCAAACAACACAAAATCACAAAATACAAAATCAGTCCAAACACACGTTCAGACAATGACATTACAAAATTAAAATGAATTCAATTCAATTCAATTTCATTTATATAGCACCACATCACAACAACAGTTATCTCACAGCTTTCCAAACAGAGCAGGTCAGACCCTACTCTGAAGTTAATCACAGAAACCCAACAATTCCCAATTCCATTCCTAGTTTGAATTACAAAATGATTTCTACATGAACAAAGATGAAATGTGCACTCTGCATATTGATGGTCACTGTTGTTGTCACCAGGTGCTGAAGGACTATGGCGTGGGTTCGACCCAGAACTTCTCGGCCTTCGCCTCCTTCGGCTTCCACCCGGTGGCGGCGGGCGTCCCGTGGCTCCCGGCCGGGGCCCAGGTCGGAATCCCCGCCAACTTCAACAGCACGCCGGACGACCTGAGCGGCATCACCAACCGCCACATCTTCATCAACGGCCAGACGGTGGACTGGGCCAGCGAGGCGGGCTCGGCCCTGCGGGAGGCGCTGGTGCTCTCGCTCCCGGCCCAGAAGTTCGCCATCGCGCGGGAGGTGGCGCGGCTGCAGGCCGGCGGGCCGGTGGCGAGCGCGGCGGTGGCGCCGCTGTGCCTGGGGGGGGTGTGGGTGTACAGCGTGCTGCTGAAGCAGGTGTTCGGCCTGCACGGAGGCCCCGCCCTGCTGCGGGGCGCCGCCAACGCCCTGGCGCTGGCCATCGGCGCCGTCTCCTACCTGCTGGGCTCGGACGCCGTGGGCCAGTGGCTGGACTACAGCTGCGACCGCCGCGCCGCCCGCCTGGCGCCCGGCTACGCCCAGGGGGGCGTGGAGTTTTACGACAAGATCCTGTCCCGGAACAAGACGCTGCGGGCCCTGATGGGCCAGAAGGGCGAGGAGATGTACGCGCCCAGCGGAAACCTGTTCCCCGCCCACATCCTGCAGCTCAAACACACCCCCTACACCTCCAGGAGGGAGGGCATCCTGGCTCTGCTCAAAGAGGAGAAGGCATGAATAAGAACTGACGGCCACGTTACGTCCAGGTGCTTTTTCTGAATGTTATTTAGTCCTGAAACCCAAAGTGTATAACTATAATTAAGACAGTCTTTGAAAGCCTCGAGGTGTCCTAATTCCTGTAGTGACATTGGTCACCACCCGTCGGAGGCCAGGAGCTCAGATTTGACTCGCAGTGGGCAGCGTGATGCTTCCGTGTGGCTGGACAGTGGTTGGACATTTCTGTGTGGAACAGGCATCGGTGATTAGTGCTGGAAAATAAGCGATTTCAAGCAGAACCGGATGAATCTTAAAACAACCAATAAATGATGCTAGCCATGAGCTGACTGATTGATGTACTGTTTGTTCTTTTGTTTGTTCTTTTGTTTGTAGGCTTTGGCTGGCAGTACTACGACGAGGGATTTAAAACTAATGTGATATCAATAAGACTTCTAGGAGTCTTTAAGGCATCATCGAGATCAACTTAAAAGCTATTTTCGATTTTATAAAAGGTCTACATGAGCCGGAGGATTTTACTTACTGCCGTTGTGCTAGGTCTCAATATGCTAATGAAAATATTACGTACGATTTGGATGTTAACTGATGGATCAGTGGGACTATTTAGTAGCAAGTGGCAAAACAGAGTGGTTCTGAGATCAGGAGCCCCCTCTACTGGCTTTATGATGTTAAGAATGAAAACACTCAGGTAGCAGATCTCGCTAAAATGAGTCCTAACAGCATTGCACCTTAAAGCTCCAATCAAATATGGTAAGTAATGTGACAGAAAGAGGAGTATCCTCAAACTGAACTGGGAAAAATGTGACTGACAGCCACATTCAAACTAGTAGCTTAATTATCCTGATTGTTTTGGTCACATTGTTTGTAGAGAACATGAACTTATTTTCTTTCTTGCCAGAACTACTGGAGTCTTTCACATGAGATAATGGAAGGCCTTCAGTGAAGGATTCATAACAGAAATGTTGACCTTAAAGGGTTTACATGCTCAGCTGATTCCTTCTTTGCAACCGCCTGCAGAAAAATAGCAACTTAATGTTGTTTTGTACTGTTAGATGATGTGAAAAGGCCTCATTATACCATCTTAAACCAGGGTAGCTTTCAGTGAAAGGCAGGAAAAGGAGTTAAGGAGGAGAGAAATTAGGAGCTATTGTGGAATTGCATCTTCGTTTAGTTTTTGTGAAAATGTGGAACCTTTTATTGTGTTTCACAGAGAATACACACACTTAAAGCTGAGATCAGTGAGATCCATGGTGGTATTTCTGGCACCTCCGTCCCTAAACTATGAACAACAATGCTCTTGTATTCCTCGCGGGTCAGAAAAACAAAACGTGTATTCTTATTGATCTACTGTGATCCAGATTAATAAAAATGTAGTGCTGACACCCTGCTGGTCAGCTGTCTGCATATAAATGAGGGTCTGATATGATTTAATTACATTTCCAATGTTGTTCCACGAGGGGTGAGTTAATTATAGTGATGTAATTAATTACATTGAAAATTTTCATATGGTCATCACTGTCTTTTGGAACACTGACATATATTTATTTATCTGCATTGGCTCTTACAGATTATGTTTTCTGTTTGAATCTGTATTTGTTTCAGGTTTAGCAGCAGGTTGAGGTTCTCTTTATGAAGAACGCCTCCACAGATGCGTGAGCTAATGACCCGTTAAATAAACTTACATTCAAAATACATTCAGAAGACCATCAACAATGAAGTGTCTTTCAGAGACAGAGAGTTTATTATGTGACTCTCCCCACTCCGCTTCATCAGCTCAGCTCATTGAGAGCCCGGCAGAGCTCACTGATCAATGGCCTTTTGTTCGCTGCGCCGCAGGATGTTTTCTTTTTGAGCCACTGGAGGTCAGCACAGCCCACAATACCTGCCTCCAACAGTCCCAGTGCTCATGAATGACCGGACAGAAGAATGAATGCATGAACTAAGCTTGAAATGAAGACAAACAAACATATTTTTTAAGAGAGAATTGTCATAGTCACATCCATTTTGAAATTCCTGCAATGATTTTTAATACTGGATCCTGTAAGAACCCATTTCTGGCCAAATTTCAAATTCTACAGATGAATTTAGAAGCATCTGTCTGTGATTGCATGGTTGCAGAATAAGGAAAGGATTGCATCCCTGCACCTGCTGCACTGCCTGAACATACGGATGGAGAATTAAAACACATGCAGGTCTACATGTGATGTGTAAAACATTTCCCAAATACAGAAACAGGGTTTACAAAAGCACCTGAATCAGATGTCAGTTTGTCTTTTTTACTCACATATGCTGCTGTTTGGGTCTCATATTTAAACCTGTAGGTCATACATCTGAGCAACACAGTGGCGTGGTGGTCAGCAAGATGGTTTCAGATTTCTCCCAACGTCCAAAAACACGGACGTGGAACCCAGCTGACAAAGGGCGGGGGGGGGGCAGGGCGGTGGGGGTTTTCAGCCTGGACAGTTGGCCAGTCCACCGCAGGGTCCGGCTGCGGGTCTCTCCGCTCAAAACAACGCGTCTCCTGCTGCCTGGCCCCGCCCCCCTACGTGACCCCGCCCCTCCTTGCGTGGCCCCGCCCCCCTGCGTCCCCCCTGCGCGATGACGTCGGCGCACAGAGCGCTGCTGTGCTTCGAGGCAGGCGGGCGGAGCAGCTGCAGAGACTCGGGAGCGTTGGCAACGACGGACACACTCACGCTGGGCATGTCGGAAACGAAACATTTGTCCGTTTTGTGAATTGTCAGTTTCGACGTCTGGCCTTTTTTCTTTTTTTCTTTCCCCCTGAGCGCACGCAGTTTGTTCGCGGGCGGGATTATATTCCTCATTTTTACCCCATGACTTAGTCCCCGTGTGTAGCCAATGGTTACTGCGGGGGCTCCTGTCTTGTGGATTATCCGTCGTCGCCTATCCAGTTACATGGTCGAGCCCGGAGGAGGCCCCGTTCTGCCGGATGGATGTGTGTGAAGCAGCGCCGAGCTCCCAGTGCTGATGTTGACGGTGATAATGACGATGCTCGGGTTTCATCGGCAGTGGGTGAACTGATCTTGGATGTCCGGGCTTTGTCGCCCCTGCACACAGAATTTTTTCTCATACAGCAACAAATTACATTACTTAAAAACTGGACGCCCCTGGAGCAGTTTATGACGGTAAGAAAGGCACTCGTTCACGGGCCACCAGTTTTCTTTCGTCTTTTTTTTTTTTCTTCACAGCCAGCTGACGTTAGCTAGCTAGCTTAGCGCTGTCACTTTTATCCAAGTTGCTCTCAATACGGCCACAAAAGCGACATAATAACGTGATAAGGCTGTTTTTAAAGGACCGTTACGTACTTACACTTACCTCTAATCGAGCTGAGTCTCCAAAAACAATATAAAAGACAAGCTATAATGCATAATATTTATTCTATAGCCTTACAGCCAGGGTTTATGTAGCCTGTTTGTTAGCTAGCTGTTTCTTAGCCCATTCAATATCTCGGGTCTCACTTTATGTACTTACACTATTACAAATGGAGAGGCACGGTTAAGAAAGTATGTCCATACCCACTTATTGACATGTATATTTGTACGAATGTGTGTATGCGTGTGTAATGTAAGGATAAATGGGTCGTGGGAAGCTCATTCATTGGGCAGCGGACGATAGAAGCGTTAATGACGGGAGTCCGGTCGGCGTTCAGCGGAACCCGCGGTCCGGACGAGCCTTTAAACCCGGCATGCCTTCACCCTTTTTACGGGGACAGTGACCGGTGACGGGTCGCCGGCTTTCTCCGGGTCTGACGTGCGTCGGGCTGTGATGAAGGAGCCCGTTTCTGTGCTTTTGCTCGTCCATCGCCAGTAACGTGAGGAGCATGTCACATCTCCCGGGTTTCAGGGCAGAGGGCCTGCGTGGATGAGCGGCTCACAGATCATGGTTTCCCTCCTCCGTGCATTGCAAAATAGTCCTTTTTATTTCCCTAAGTAAATTAGTGAAGCGGACTGGTGGCTGAGAAGCTGTTTATTTGGCGTTCCCGTGGATGCGCGGCTCTTCTGTGATGAGCCGCCCTCCTTTTTTTCGATGACGTAATCCTCCACCATCCGTGCCACATCTTTCAAGTCGCAGTTGGTTCCACTGCTGCCTGCTGCTTGTCAGTCTGCTGGGATCTTAAGGACCCGGACTTTGTCTAACCCCTGTGATCCCTCACCCCCTCATTTCCCCCCTCTCGTCGATTTGGGTGCGTTTGGCTGCAAAATGACAGATAAAGTCGTGGCGCAGTGAGCTTCCTGACACGACCTCACACGCCGTGGAAGCAAACCAAGGCATTCTGCGTGAGAGCCAAGAGCTGGGTTCAATGCTCTGCGTGCAAGGTTGCCCCAAAAGCGTGGCCGGGAATCCCCAGGGATTTCTGAAGGTGACACCAGGACCCCTCCATGTTGCTGCCCTAAAAAAGATGATGCATCCTGCAGAGTTTGGGCTTTTTGGACAGCGGAAATGATCAGCACAGGTCTGTTTTACACAATTAAAAAAAAAGTTATTGTGTATGCGAGTTTCAAATCTATTTGACAGATTATTGGTGAATGGTAGTGGGAGTCCCTGTGTGTGGCACATTTTTATGGCATCATATGTTAAAATAAGGTATTAGCCTGCTCTACAAATATCTTAGTTTTGTAAACGTACTTTTGAGACGGCTTGAGCCAGGACAAAGTAGAGTGTGTGTACGTGGTGCTCCGTGCTGGGCAGATGCTGGTACCTAAAGAGAACCAAATATGGGTTTGAAATGTTTGTTTGTGAAATAGAAATGCATGCCTACTGTTTTTGTTTTCATAAACATTATTAATTCACACATTGTGGGCTGAGGAGAATTCCTGCTTGAACTTCAAAAGTCCCTCTTCTTCTCTGCTTAAGTTTCCCAAGTGAAAGGGGAAGATTACAAAGTTGGTGACCGCTCTGATTTGCATAAGTTGCACACCTGAACCTGGCATGCCTGTGATGAACTCCAGAGATTTTCAGAGCGCTCGCAGAGAAATGTGGCGGATGTAGAGAGACATCCAAATGGATGGAGGTAGATGGGGCACTGTGGCAGAGATAACTTGAATAACCTGCGTTTGCTGTCAAAGGAAAACCTTGAGGTTGATTTTTTTTCGTGGATCTAACAAAGCAGTACAATGAGAAATGGCCAGGTGTAATTTTATCCATTCCCCTATCAAATATCAGCAACATATGTTAAATGATGATTTCTTTATCTTCTTGTTGGACTTGTAAAGTGGAGCCGTTTTGGAGATGTCTGATATATTTGATCTCCCTAATATAATGGGGCTCGATATCACGGAAAAGTGAAAAAAAAACATATCAAGGCTGCATGTGTATGTCCTTTAGACATGCGCTACTTTTGGGCTGGCCAGTTTTGTGCGGCAGCTCCTTTCAAACCGTGTGATAATCAAACGGGTTCACTGGGAAGAAATGAAGTGCAAATCTATCCAGTTCTCACAACAGGAAGCAAACGTTATCCTCAGTTTGCATGTCATTTATTTATCGGAGGCGTGTTCCAACGGAAGGATGCAAACGGTTAACCACTGCGTAGTTGGTCAAATTTGGCGTTGCCAAAAACATCAGCAAGGGAAACTGTAGCCGAGCGTCTTAGGTTTCAACGATGTGACTTAAAGAAGCCATCTGTAGAGGAAGTGCAGAAATAAGTGCTGATGTGCTTGACATTTTTAGTTTGGTCAAAATACCTAAAAGAAACTTGCATCTTGTAGAAACTTGCAACTTGTGCTCCTGCACACGGCAGGCCCGACTTGCAGCTACTAACAAGTTGCACAAAGTTGGCAGCCTCCAGAGTAAAGACCCTAAAGTGGACGGTCCATCACAGTCTCCAGGGCTGAGGTGTGTCCGTGCTGGTGGCTGTGCTCGGCTCCCATCGATACAAGCAGAGAGAATCTGTGGAAGATGAATGGAAAAAAAGACAACAGATCAAATGACCGCCTTCATTCAGCTGCTTCGGAGCGTAACCGCCCGCTTTCTGGTGTAAGTTTAGAGATACAGTGTGAATGGGATGTTTAGCTGCCCTCCATCACAACGTCCGCCAGTCTCGTCTGTTTTTTTGAAAGGTGAGTTATTTCCGTGTTCCTATCTATATTTTCCCGACAGCTCTTTTTCCCCCCGATGGTTTCAAAGTTGGTGAGGCTCGCCCTCCCTGGTGTCGGGGCTCCTTAAAGCTGGCAGCTCCGTGTTGAATGCCTGTGTAGGAAGCATGCTGACTGGAAGCTTTAGGCCTGCTATCAGGCTTTAAAAATGCAAACATTTGTGTATTTCGATTTTTTAAACTCAGAATAACCATGACAGGCTTTTATAGTTCTATACACGTATGTATTAGACAGGATATCTTTTTTTTTCCTATGAAGAGAACCAAAAGCAGAGGGGTGAAACACTGCTGCAGGAACATTGAACTCCTGTGGAGGATTATGGAGAATGACCATACTGTGTGTGAGAGCTTTGAGTAGACAGAGGATCAAAGAGGCTAACACACTTAACGCTTCCTGCGCCCTATCAAATTAGGACCCTTTATTAAAAGCAGGACTTTGACTAGCAGTGTGGCAGCTAGCAGCCAAACAACCACCCATTCACACAGATATCCAGCCAGATCCACCTCATGAAAGCAGCTAGTTAGTGGTCTGCTGCTCGGCCGGATATGGCTTGGCTCTTCACTGAGAATCATCTCCCGAGCCCCAAACACAGCTGTGTTTATTAGCTGCGAGATACCACAGAGAGCGGCCTGCCAGGCTGAAGGCGCCCCGACACATTCTGCTCTCCAAAGCTGAAAGCAAATAGTACCACAGGGACCACGTTATGTTTTGTTGTCAGTATTGTCAATGGATGAGCGCATAATATTAATGGATTTTTATTTGATTTCTTTAGGATTTTGCACCAATGGTATGTAAAAGTTAGACAAATGTATCTGTGGATTAGGTCATAGGAGAGCAGTAATTGATTGTAGATGGATATTGTGTTTAATTCATTTTGTAATTTTATGCGTGTGTGTGTATGAATGTGTTGAATAATTTCACTCTGGGATTATTCAAGTATTTAGGATTCTGGAAAAAAATAGATTATATATATATATATGTGCAATTTTACGTTATGGAATATTCATACCGTCTCAAAGACGACAAACGGATGGTTAAAGTGAAAAAGATGTGCATGAAAGTCCTCATTCATAGGACGCATGTCTCCGAAGCCAATCAGCGGGCAGGATTCTGTCTCGTTACCCACGGCAACCAAAACACAGCAGAAAAGATGCAGCAATGTTCTGCCTCAGCGGAGGATTTTATAGCGAGACCTGGGTCCATGTGTTCAGCCAGAGATGGTTTTGGTTTTCACAAGACTGATGTCGGTTAAAAAAATGTTACTGCAGAGTTCCAGCAAAATCTGTGAGCTGGTGATGAGGCTTTTTATTGTCTTTTTTATAAAACATATTCAACTTGGTTTACATTTGGATTCAATAATTCAATAATATTGATTATATTCTTATTCATTTTTACACAAAAACATAATTTGTTAGATTATCCTGTGACCTATGTACATTCTGGAGATGACATGACATCAAATATGGACGTATTATTGGGCAATGTTAATCAGAAGGCCATGATATGTGTCTGATGTATGTATGAAAGTACTGTTCTGAAACGCTGTCTATCTATAGATGTCAGTGTAAGCAAGAAGGGTTTCTTTTTTTAAAGAAAGACAAATATATTGTGAGATTCTTTATCAGAGCATTAAAAAAAAATCACAATTTTTTTCGTCCATTTCTACCACCCCTACTCATTTCTGTCCTGGTGTCTTTAGCACATTCTTATTCACAGCCTAGGTCCAGTGACACGACTGTAACTGTGAAACAACGAGTGGGGGCTGCCTCTGTGGAGACCTTAAAGTCTTTATTTAATCTTACCTGCAGGGTCAAACAGAACTCATCTCCTCAATTAAATTAATTCAAGCCAGACAAGGTGACAAGTGTAGGTAGGTGTCCAAGTAGCCGCCACGGAAAAGGCCGCTAAACCCCGGGTCTGATGGATCCCTGAGCCGGCACAGGTTGCTCCCGGTGTGTGTGTGTGTGTGTGTGTGTGTGTGTGTGTGTGTGTGTGAGGAAGACCCACGGTTGCGGTGCCTGTTGCTCTGCCCG